TTGTAGAAAACGCTGTACACTTCAGAGAGCTGCTCCGCCCATTGTGGGCGGACCTCCGCCAACGTCGTGTATGCTGGGAAGCACCTCAGACATTGCTCCCCTACACCAATTTGTTTTCTGCTCTGTAGGCTTTCTCTCAACCGAGTTATGAAATTTTTCATAAAGCACTGCTTTTTTCTGGAGAACGCCCGCCATACCGGGGCATTCTCCGTAAAAATTCGTGGGTCTCCATAACTTCGTGGGTCTCCCTAATTCGATGTGACTTACCAATGCACACCTTACCCACTTTTTGGCCCAGTTTCGAGGTCGTTTTGTCACTGAAATCGAAATCTTGGTCTTCGGTAAGTTCATTTCGACGCACGCCACGCCCTCTGTGGGCGGGGCTCCGCTTAGCTGATGTGTGTTTTGTATTTCGTGAGACCTTGCCCACCCATCCCATACCCGGTCCCTCCACACTTGACCCGGTCTCTCCAGGCAGATCCCGAGGAGCTAGAGAATTTTGTGACAGACATGCAGAAGCAGCAGGAGATGGTTTCAGCAATTTCAGTGCGGTAGGAATTAAGAAAAATCATCTGCATGAAAAACGAGCGCCACTGGGAAGGAGTGCTGAACAGTGCTCTCCTAGAAACGCATTTTATAAGAGCCAGAATGTATATTGATGCTCATCGTTCTTATCGTTTAGGGAAGCGAATGCTGTTGCATTATGAGATTGTTCACTAAGCTCCTCTCCGAGGGGTTAAGTCCCATACCAACAGTCTCTTGGCCTGAAAGAGAAGAGAGTTAGGATTAACGGTTGATGGTTTTGGGTGAAACTCCAGTTCGGGGGGGCCACTCCATTTTTTCTCCAATACTCAAGATAAGGATTAGAGGGCTCACGACACGTAATCGACTCATTTAAAGTAGACTTCTGATAAATATTGGTGGTGTAATGGTGAGAAACCCTGAAACGTTTTCACATTTCCGCCTGCCATGACCCAAGGGAACGGTCCTGGACCAGGAGAAAGGACACCTCCGCAAAGGGCTAAGGGTGCAGGAGCTCCAGGGTGGATCACCTGTGCAGAAAAGTGGATGGGATGTGGGCAGGTAGTGTGGAATGTAGGACATCCACCGGTCCTTATCAAAAGTACGCTCGAAATGAGTCGTTCACTTATTATCTTATCCGTAGTGTTCGATAGCCCAAAGAACTGCTCTCTAGTACTACGGATAAGATAGCAATGGAGTGGCCCCCCCGAACTGGAGTTTCACCGTTTTGGATGTTCGACCTCTCAGCCATATGACTTACCTGAGAGAAGCATCCTCTTTCACAGTTGATGGCGATCAGTCCTTTCTGACTGAAGAACAAGAGAAATTTTTGTGGAAGGATGCTAGCCACGATCATTATTTGGTTTTTTTTCCCAATTTCTTTCCTCTTTTGCACTGGTTGTCGATGCTGTGCGGTTTTGGCAGTTTATCAAAAATTTATAGCAATTGGAAGCTTTTTCAACCGACCATGTGGCCGCGCGGCCTTGTGCCGAAGCTTTAGCACGATCTGCGGAGCCATTTTCACTCGTTATATTTGCGTCGTTTAGGCTCGAAATGACCTTCGATGCCCGTTATCCTTGCTATTATATTCCATTGAAATCGGCGCATGTCACGCTGTTGCCTCGTCACTTCATTCCTACCGGTCTAATCTCAATCTGAAATCCGGAGTTGACTATTTGGGATACTTTTTTTCTTATGTTTATTTTGTGCACAAGAAATCATGGAAAAAGGGTTTATGTTTCACCGGCAAAAATGGCATCGAATCGGATGTTCTATTACGTTTTCCTGTCTGCTGACGTCCGTACGATTGGGGAATGGAAATGTCCGTTACATGCGTCACGTTGCATCGCCAAATGTTTGCTGTTGTAAGTGCGCTCTCTCACTTCGTTTACTCATTTTCGAGAGGTTCTTCGCGCATTGTCTTCCATCTTTACCTTTGAGAAAGTGTTCTGATGTTATGGCTTCCATTTCCTGATCCGCCTCTTCGATGTTGGCTTGTTTGGTATTCATTTCCGTTGTACGTGCTATATAATGGAACCAGTAGCGTCTCGGAGGTCTTTATTGCTGCGGGCCTTACACAAGTATGCGCTTCCAAGCTTTCTAGCATGGTCACGTACAGGGGCCGGATTCAATCCTTTCCCAAGGGGTTGGGGGATGAAAATCTCTTCAACTTTCTCTGTCTTCCCAACTATCCTGTTAAAGGGTCTACATTCAATGTATGTATGCAGGTCAAAGTAAACATGCACCGAAATTGAAGAAACTTAATGGTTTTTTTCGCCTTCCCTTTTGAGGGAGGGATGGATCCAATCCAGGCTTTGCTGTCTTCGATGCAGCTTCTCACACTTCTTCTTGCGAATATGCTTTGAAATGAGCCGACACACGGCCAGCCACAATGCCTTTATAAATTTCTTCTCTGTAGGTTTCTCTTGAAAAAGAGATCGCAGATTATTCTGTCCCAAAACATCGTTAAGCTATATTTTTCCAAATATTGCAAAAATTAGAATGTGGGGTTGGCAGCCGTCACTCTGCAAAAAAACTGGCGTGTCCTGAAAGAGCATGACCTTTCGCTCGGAGAATGAGCGTCTTCGGCCGCGATCATGCAATGTTGAAAAGTAATCCATAACCCCAGAGTAGAGCGTAGCAAATCTAGGCGCGTTGGGTTGCTAGCATCGTGTGAGGAAAGTTGAAAATGCGCAGCCATGCCACCCTTTCGTTGGCTCGTCTCCAGCGGCATTGTGTGGGGTTTGTAGACGTGTACGTTTTTGGGGAATGCTCTGCGTTGAAAAGTTGATTGGAGAGAAAATTCTTCGTAAACGGAATGCATATGCGCACGCAACATGAGAAAAGTAAGGTAAAAATATGAGTTCGATAATAAGGCTTTTCATGATCCATAGGAGAAAGTCTCAAACTGCAAGGTTAGGTTTTTTTTAGTTCACGAATATTTGTGTGTTGGGTCCATTCTGTTTTCTTTGCTTGTAATACTCAGAATACTTTTATTTTCGCTTTCCTTTCTATGTAATAAATTTGAGGACGGCCAGATTTGTGTATGTCGTGAAGAAAGTTTAACGGTTCTTTTCGTCCAAAATGTAGCATTGTGATATATTTCAGTTTTGCCGGTGGAGGCAATGGATGGATCGTTGTCACGAGCTGTTGCAGCTGCAGCTCGTTATGTTGCCGACTCCAACATTGACAACACCGCCCTCTTCGAAGACTCCTTGAAAGTGTGTTCTTTCCTTGATGAGGCCTAATGTTCTAGCGTTGGTCCACTGTGGTTGGTTTTTGTCCTGACAATTGTTAATGAGTTACAGGTACTTATACGTCACTTAGATGGAGTGGAGGTCACCGGAAGATTATCTCTTTCCAATCAGTTCCTCACCGAATTGCTAGACTACAGTCCACACATTCTTTCGGCCAACACTTCAAGTGCACCGACTAGGTCAAAGCTTCTACGACTTCTCTTTAGCTTAGGTATGTTTTTTTTTACCTTTTTCCCCTTATAACCCCGTCCACTCAGTTAGTCCAAGATGGCTTATACTCAATTTGCACTATTTCAAACCGCAAATGTTACCAACGATCGAAGAGTATGTTTTGCTTATAACGGTAATGCGAAGGGCATGTGTTGCGTTCTTATGTTGCGATTTTTTTCAACTTCAACCAAAGACCTAATGAGGATGCTTGTGGTTACAGTAGCGTAGAGCCCACTCGTTGCAGCTCTATACAATGTGAGAATACGACGGTATCTCTGTGGCGAACTCCATCTATGTGGACCTGTTTTTGAGTGCCTGAAGATGTCGCTGAAAGAGCAACTAGGACCGCAAAATTTAATCGACATTCTTCGGCTGCTACAGGTATGTTCCACGACCTACCAAGTCATATCCTACATTTTATTAACGCTTTTTTATCGCCTTGTTCTATACATCTATTTCATTTCGATATTTCATCAATCCCAAGTTCTTTGTACTATTTTTCTAGGTCGATAGGCCCAGAGGGCTTGGTTTTGAAGAATCGGCTCTTTAATTTTTTTCCAGGTTCTAACCTACGAAAAATGTCTGGTTCTCGGAATATGGACTAACGATTTGATATCTTTTCTAATGAGTGAG